ACTATCAAGAAAGCCTTTGAAATTTTCATGTTAGCTCAAACATATCCCTATAGTATAAGAAAAAATTTCACCATTGATTTTACACTATCATGAACTAGCCACAATTCCGAATCCATTTGTTAGTAGATTTAAAAAAAAATAGAAATAGTAAGAAAGAAGAAAATATGGCTTTGAGGCGTGAACAATACTATCTTAAAGGCAATTATGCCTATAAGATACAACAAAGCCTTAAAATTCTCTAAATCAGAAGTAATGAAATTGGTCGTGCAGAAAGATCTATTTATAATAAATGAATAGTCATTAATCAAACCAATTCAAAAAGTCATGACATTTTGTATAGTCATATTTTATTGTTTAAATAAACTTTATTTAAACAATCATGTATTTTACTGTTCAAGCATATTTATTCGAAATCAATAACATTCTGAAATAAATAAAAAAATAATAATAATAAAGATTTAAAAATTAAATCTATTTGTCAAACAAACCTAAGTGCCCTAAGTGAATCGTTAGTAGATTTAAGAAAAATAGAAATAGTAAGAAAGAAGAAAATATGGCTTTGAGGAGTAAATAACACTGTCTTAAAGGTAATTATGCCTATAGGATACAACAAAGCCTTAAAACTCTCTAAATCAGAAGTAGTGAAATTGGTCAAGCAGAAAGATCTATTTATAATAAATGAACAGTCATTAATCAAACCAATTCAAAAAGTCATGACATTTTGTATAGTCATATTTTATTGTTTAAATAAACTTTGTTTAAACAATCATGTCTTTTACTGTTCAAGTATATTTATTCGGAATCAATAATATTTGAAATAAATAAAAAAAATAAAGATTTAAAAATTAAATTTATTTGCCAAACAAGCCCAAGTGTCCAAGTTCCCATCTTTGACTTTTAAAATTGTCCAACCCACTAGGAAAACTCTTAGCAAGCCCAAATGACTTGGCCCACTCCAACACTTAGCTCAATTGCTTAAATAATATAAGTAATTTCTTTTAAACCATTTATAAGTGATCTTTCTACTCAATGTGGGATACATCATATTCTAAACTACCAACAATCCCCCACTAGTTGGAATGTTGGGTGCTTAATCTTTAATCTTTCACACAAACAAATATTATGAATACAAGAAGGTATCTTTCGATTTAAACCTTCAATTGACGTATATAACTTAGAATTCTAACAAAGTTGATGGTGTTCGTAGATTAAATCTCAACTCCTAATGTTAAAATTGAAGATATAATACACATAATATTTATTTAATATTCTCTGTCAGAGGTTTATAATCGCTTTAGCACTATTATGGCCATCTGTTTATCTTTATTCATAAACATTTACAAGAAAATTTCTAATTTTCTTGTTGAAGCGGCACCGCTTCTATGTTTATATAGGTGGAGTTTTTTATTTATGTCTCCATTGCTATAGACTTGTGAGTTTTTTTAAAATTTTTCTTGACTTTAAAATTGTTTTGAAATTTACCAAAAGACTTGTGAGTTTTTTTAAAATTTTATCCACTCACATAATTCACATTGGAACCTCTAAGGAAGAGTGCATCTCTTGCACGATTTTTTGCTTCAATCTGTATGTGAGTTTGAAATTCTTCAATAGTGAAAGTATTTGTTGAATGTAGAACTTTTTTCCATATCCATTCCATGAAAAAAGAAGTTTTGATAAAATAGCTCCAACTTGAAGTGAATCAGGAACCTTAACTTAACTTAGAGACCAAAATTTGTAACTCATGCACTTGGTCCATGATTGGTTTATCATCAGTTATTGAAAATTCAAAGTATTTCAAAGCCAAAAACTTATCCGTACTTTTTTTTCGTTCATGTATTTGTGCTCAAGAGCCGTCCATATCTCTTTTGGTGTTTTCATATTTCTTTATAGGTTATATAAACGGTCAGATAATGAATTTAGAATATAACCTCGACAAATTAGTTCATTTTCTTCACGTTTGCTTCTTGTTGCCTTAATAGTATTAGAATCTTCAGGAGTTGGTTTTGGAATTGGTTCCAAATTTAGATCAAATACATAAAACATCTTCAATGCTATCAATAGAAAACCATTTTGTCCTTCCACCTAGTGTAGTTTGATTAATTAAAACGATCAAGTTTGATTACATCTTGATTTTGAAAATGAACCTTCATGCTTGATTCTAAATCCATAGCAGTAGTAGGGATAATAGTAGATGTAGTATCCATAATTGCCTTTAAATTGTTAGTAGATTTAAGAAAAACAGAAATAGTAAGAAAGAAGAAAATATGACTTTGAGGCATGAATAACACTGTATTAACGACAATTATGCCTATAGGATACAACAAAGCCTTGAAACTCTATAAATCAGAAGTAGTAAAATTGGTCAGGTAGAAAGATTTATTTATAATAAATGAACAGTCATTAATCAAACCAATTCAAAAAGTCTTGACTTTTTGTATAGTCATATTTTATTGTTTAAATAAACTTTATTTAAACAATCATGTCTTTTACTGTTCAAGCATATTTATTCGGAATCAATAATATTTTGAAATAAATAATAATAATAATAATAATAATAATAATAATAATAATAATAATAATAAAGATTTAAAAATTAAATCTATTTGCCAAACAAGCCCAAGTGCCCATGTTTGACTTTTAAAATTATCCAACCCATTAAGAAAACTCCTAGCAAGCCTAAATGACTTGGCCCACTCCAACACTTAGCTCAATTACTTAAATAATATAAGTAATTTCTTTTAAACCATTTATAAGTGATCTTTCTACTCAATATGAGATACATCACATTATAAACTATCAACAACTCCCCATTAGTTTGGAATGTTGGTGCTTAATCTTTAACCTTTTACATAAATAAATATTATGAATATAAGAATGTATCTTTTGATTTAAACCTTCAATTAGCGTATATAACTTAGAATTCTAACAAATTTGATAGTGTCCGCAGATTAAACCTCAACGGCTAATGTTAAAATTGAAGATGTAATACACATAATATTTATTTAATATTCTGTCAGAGGTTTATAATCGCTTTAGCACTATTATGGCCATGTGCTTATCTTTATTCATAAACATTTACAAAAAATTTTTCAATTTTCTTGTTGAAGTGGCACCACTTCTATATTTATATAGATGGAGTTTCTTATTTATGTCTCCATTGTTATAGACATTTGATTATTAACTCCATTAAAAGTTCAATCTCATCCTCCATTTACGCAATGACTTACATTAGTATTCCAAATATATAGAATGGGTTGACTAGTGTTAGAGACACATAACAATAATTTGTTATTACCTATTTAAACTTTGCAATTAGAGGTTACTAATTCAAAATTAGGTTCCCATTATCGGTGTCTAAAAGAAATTTTAAACCCAATTCATTTGTGGTGCTTCTTACCAAATTTCTAGTTAGCGCCTTGGTAAGAGGATCTGCTAAGTTTTTAGTAGATTTAGCATATATGATGGTAATTACCCTATTTTTTTTTTATCAATTCTCTGATATAATCATGTCTTAGACTAATATGTCTAGATTTTCCATTATAAATTTCACTATAAGCTCTAGACATAGTAGATTCATTATCATAGTACAAGGAAATGGTTGTCATTGGTTGTGGCCACAACTCTATATCCATTAATAAATTTCTTAGCCATTCAACTTCCTTGCCTGCTACAGCTAAAGCTATAAATTCAGATTCCATAGTTGAATGTAAAATGCAAGTTTGTTTCTTGGATGCCCAACTAATTGCACCACCTCCAAGGGTAAACATTCATCCTGAAGTAGATTTATTATCACTTATACTAGTGATCCAACTTGCATTTGAATATCCTTCCAAAACAGTTGGATCTGCGGAATAAAATAAGCCAAAATCTTTAGTTCTTTTAAGATAACCTAGAACTCTTCCTATGACTTTCCAATGACTTATATTAGGCTTACTTGTATATCTCGACAATTTACAAATAGCAAAAGCTATATTTGGCCTAGTACAATGCATAGCATACATAATACTTCCAATAGCACTAGCATATTCAAGTTGTGCATCTTTGACTTTTTAAATTGTCCAACCCATTAGGAAAACTCCTAGCAAGTCCAAATGATTTGGCCTACTCTAACACTTAGCTTAATTACTTAAATTATATAAGTAATTTCTTTTAAACAATTTATAAGTGATCTTTCTACTTAATGTGAGATACATCACATTTTAAACTACCAACACCATTCCAATGGAACATTTTAATTCTATTTTAATTGAAAATATAAACTCCAAATTCAATCTGAAATAAAATAATATTGATACGTGTGGAGTTCTCACACTAAACAAAAAAATATATGAAAGAAGTTTATTAATGTAAAACATATCCTATAAATTTTTGTGAAGTTTCAAATAAATCAAGGCCAGATTTAACTTTTGTTTTAATCCCAAAATGAATCTGTCTTTGCTTACCATCGTCACTTTCGGCCAAAATTCTTTCATAAAATTGTGAAATAAAATCTTAAGATTGTTAGAACATGGGTTAGAAAAATTATAAAAAATTAAGGATAAATTTTATGATATGTAATAGTATCATTTTTAAAAAAATGTTATTCACTCTAACCACTTAATTAATTAGTATACAAAAGAGTTACTGATAATAAATTTCGAAAATACAATGAAACTTTATAATTGATTATATTTTATATTAATGAAATCAATCCACTAATCATTCACCAACATAAGAATAGAATTATTTGATTTGGTTATAAAAAATTTGCGAAGCTTTTTCTAGCTTTTGTTTAATGTGCAAAATGTATCAATTTACATGATAGCTTCTATATCTTATAAAAATCAAAAGAATTTATTTATAATTAAATAAAAATCTCTTTACACAAATATAACTATCCATAAATATACTTATAAATACCATTCTTTATAACACATAACTTTTAGTAAATAATTATATCTTTTAAAAAATATAACCATTCACAGTCATATATTAATTCATAAGATATATTATTTCCAAAATGTTCAAGACACAAGCAATGCGCAATGATTGTTTACAGTGCTAACAGCAAGAAAGGTTGTGTTGGACAAGCCCTTAATGCAAAATTAACAATCAAGACCCAGCAAAGGGATGCGGCAGAGAGGACACTCTTGTTTTTTGAACAGCCATTGGACAATGCAGTCGCGATGGAAGATGTGCAAGCAAGGTAGACGAATGATTTTGGAACCGAAGGTCAGACCCTCCAAGCAGACAGCACATCGTCCATCCTCCGCGTCCTTCGAAAGCGTGAGGATCTCCAACTCCCGGACGATGTCGACTTCCACCACAATATTAGCTTTAGTGCTCCGAACAACGCGGCCAGTACAATTTAAATTAATCGTCTGACGGCAGAACTCCCCATATGTTTCGCCTCTGTACCTTTGAGGAATTCCGGGTGTTCCTAAAAGTTCGTGGATATGCTGGAAATAATTACACGAGTACCGGACTTTCTTCAAGGTTATGCCCTCTTTTCTAGCCGAATCTTCGGACGTTGGCGGACACAGTCTAACAAGCTTTCTTATTTGTACTGTAAATAAAACGCCGATAGACAACTTTGGACCTTGCTGCGGTGGGGGCGGTGACAGCAAGTTGTCGCAAGGGGCACAATCGTCGTCAATCCATGTGATGGATTTGAAGGCGTTGCATGATCGGAGACTTTGTATCAGGGATACTTTCCTTTTTGGCCATTAATCTAGGATGGTTCAAACTTTCAAAATACTACTTCTTGCCCTCAGGGGCCAGGGCTTAAACTAACCTTCTCAAAAGATTTAAAGAGAACAAAGATTTAGATGGTAAAACTCCCTGCACAGAGGATATATATATATATATATATATATATATATATATTTAACAATTCCTATTTGGATTTGGATTAGAAATAGGCCCTTCGAGTATGCCAAAATTTTTACTTGAACTCTTATTCCTTTATGGGATATCAAAGGCAAAATTGTAATTTTGCTTAGTCTAAGATGGTCGTGGGAGTTCCAGCTACTTATAGAAGAATATACAGCGTGCATTGTTCAGATCAAACTAGTACACCTACAAAATTACGGACTCATCAACTACAAACGCTTGAATGCCTTCTCCACTTTTCCCTTCTTCCCAGTTCTCACCTCTTTAATTTTTCAACAAAATTTAAACTATTTGAAACATAAAAAGTTATATATATATATATAAAATAATTGTATATACCACCAGTCAGCAGATTTGTTCATTCCAACCATCCGACCAAGAAAAGGCTATCCACATGAGTCAAGTACTGCTGAATGATGCACTGGCCATGATTGTCTGACCAAGTTTCTACCCTAAAAAGGAAAAGAAAGAACAATTAAATTGGAATAGGAGATGGTTTATATATCGAAAAGATGGTATGTATAAGCCAAAGGATCAACTGGAACATGCACAAAGGTTCGTGTAAACATCGTTGCTTGCCTTGAATGCAAACCAGCCAATTTCTCCACTTGATGATTTGGTGTTGTCTATAATTTTCTATGCCATCTTCATTGTGTCGTAAGGAAGATTATAAGCAAGGTTACTTGCATACTAATGATGACTCTCCATAAGCTCAACAAGAGTTATCTTTCCGCAATTGCCGGCATCCAGCCCGTCAAACTTCTCACTGATCTGCATAATGTCTTTTTCTGATACCTTTCCCATCTCCTTGAGCTTGTATATGACAAACTCTGATTTGCTGCACATATAATCTGACATTAATACTCAACAATGAATCAACTAAACTACAAACTAATTCATGATAAATGAACAGAAACTAACAATATTGAAACATAAAGAAACTGGTATACAAATTACTGAGAACATTTTAAGAAATATAACGTATGAGGATAATGAAACAGCATAAAGCTAAACTATATCCAGTATCCAGATCTAGTCAATGATGTAGCACCTTAAGCTCTTCAATCATTGTTACATTATTGTAGGCTTTCCCCACTCAAGTCCCACTAAGCAGCAAATGACATGTATGTAAGATAGGAAATAAATCGGGTTTTCTATCTGGTGAGGCAACAAGCAGACAATCAGAAGATTATAATCTTACAACAACAAACACCTTAATGAACCAGAGACTCAATTAAGCATATAACAACAACAATAAACTAAGCCTTATAACCCATAACTCAGGGGTCGGCCTTATAACCCATAACTCAGGGGTCGGCTGTATGAAAGGCCAATAGGTCATAGTTTTGAATTTTGTTGCACCACTCATTTCTATAAAAACAACATTTTCATCTACTTTCTCACTCAATTACCTATCATAGAAAAAAAAAAAAAAGAGGGGAAAGTACCCCAATATATACAAAATCATTGCATTATAGAAAGCAACTACAAACTGGTCTTGGTTATAATCATCTACACCCATGTTTACAGACCTACCACGCAAAGCAAATCAAAGAGAGCAGCTGTGGCATCTAAATTGTGCACACAAGATGAGACACATGATTTGCATAGCAAAATATGAATCAATTCCAATAAATAGGCCTTGAAATAAAATCCACTTCCAATTTGAGACATTATGCATTAGAAGTGTCGTGAGAATCTGTTATTTGAAAAATTAAGCAATTGGATAAATATTGACACATGAGAAGCACGAAATTGATCATGACTCCAAATATTAGTTCTTCAAGCTTTCATTAAATACATTTGTCCACAACCTTTAAATTGAAATAAACCTAAAATCTATTTTTCGAACACAATAAAATGTCAACTTATGAACTAAAAAGACTACAGCGAAATACATTGTCAGAATTAGGATATTAACCTTTCAGGTATTATTGCCTTGATCAATAAGCTTCAAGCATTCAACTACTTGAAACTTAACACGATGGAGATGCACAATTAGAGTACTAACCAAATTTTATAAAATAGCTTACCTCACAAAACCATTGTTGTCAATGTCAGCAGCAAGAAACTCAGAGATAGTCATGTCCTGACCAAGCACCCACTTTGCCATCCTCCTATGCCTCTTATCCACTCTAGCCTCAGCCAAATACAGAAATGCTCGAGCAACAGCCAGAGTTGAAACAAGCAACCAAATAGCAGCAAAAACCCGACCAGGCAATGTCATAAACGCCGCATCACCGTACCCAACAGTAGTAACCGACATAACAGAAAGGTAAAAAGCATCCAACCACCCAAGATTCTCAACAAAATGCATAACACCAACACCAATTCCAATACAAAGAACCACAACTCCTAATGCCAGTCCCACCTTCATTCTTATCCTCATTCTCCCCTTTTTCACATCAATTATATAAGATCTCGCCGAGTCCTTTTTTTGAACCTCTTGTTGAACAGTTCTCAACAAATAATTCTCTTGCAAATCAAGTACATAACTAACCATCCCACTAAGCAAAATATCAATAAACCAAATCCAACCAACACAAATAATATTGAAAACAACTTGGTAGCCACGCTATTAGGGGTAATATCACCATATCCAATCGTGCACATTGTGACAACACAAAAATACAGTCCATCAACAACAGGGTGAGTTTCATGACCCACAAATTTATGACGATTAAACCAATATATAACAACACCCAAAGACAAATATAACACTAAAAGAACAAAAGCTTGTCTTACAATCGATTGGGAACCAAGTTGAGGCTTGGGAATTGAAGGATGGATGAAATCATTTAAAACTGCTATGGCAGGTGCCGTTTTGCACCTGTGAAGATTGGTTTTTTCCCATGTGAAATTTGGGTCTATTAACCATGAAGATGTTCCGGGTGAATTTTGTTGGTTTTGTTGCAAAAGCGGGTCTTGAAGATTTATAACGTTTTCTTGAGAAGAAGAAGAAGAAGAAGAAGAGGATGGTTTGGATGAGTGAAGGGATGAAGTTAAGGCATCAAGGATTGGAGATGATTCAATTGGAGAAGAGGAAGAAGAATGAGACGGACCAAATATGATTCTATCTTTTAATTCTGAAGGGGTTAAAGGGACGGGGAGAGAGACTTCATCGTTTTCTGGAAGAGGAAAGAGAGGTGGCGGTGGCGTAATTCTCTTCCTGGGACTTACGTACGGAAGCCAAGGATCATTTTCCATATGAAAATCGTCTGGGAAAACAAAAAGAAATAGAAAAAAGGGATGCAGATTTTGGGAATATCGATTGGGTTGTGAAATGTGAAGAGAGAGACGAGACAACGAGGCTGTGGTACGAATATAAAGTGGAAGGATATAATAGAAAAAAAAAAAGAACCGAACAAGAACAGGATCAGAGTTTTTCAAGTACATCCGTATAAGCAAATAAAGAAATTGCACGTGTAATTGTGTCTTATGTGTAGAACATGGACGACAAACAGTAAGAGAGAGAGAGAATGGGGCGTGTTTTGTTTTGGGAGTCTTATTTTAAGTGAAACAAAACTTCTTTTAATCTCGTCTCATGATAGACGTGGATTTAGGAAAAGGACTATGAAAAAGGCACGCGCTGTTGAAGAAGCGAGTGTGACGGTGTTAAAGCCGTTAATCAAGGGGGAATTTTGATCAGGCCACACTGCCAACCAGTGGCATGTGAAAGCTGTTCCTTTGTTTGGTTTATAAATTTATTTCAAGAATTGATTAATCATAAATGAATAATTAGTTGCGAATAGACGGTAGAAGCCTCCGCTTTGTCTGCTTTAGATAATGGAAGCAAAAGTATCCCCGAAATATGGACTTCGATAAATTATTGTACATTTTTTAGAAAAGTTTAATGACGAGGGGAAGCTTTTTTATATCAGGCAGGAGTATAACTTACGTAAGCTTGATTTTACGAACCATCACAGTTCCGCTACAATAAACTTTAACTGCTTCGTAACCGAACCTAAGAATTATTGTTGTATTTTACTAGTTAATGGGACAGCTTTCCTATCATTATCCACCTTAATGTGCTGTTTAACTATTTAAAGAATAAAGATTAAATACCATTGAACAACTTTTATGCTACTTTGGGTAGCTTAATATTGCAACAAACATACCTCATTCAGCATATTAATTGTTAGAAATATAGGAGAAAGAAGGCAAACAACTACTTTCCAGATGAAGCATCAGTTAGCAAACCTCTGCCTCCAATAATGTTTGAATTAATAGTGCATTTTCACATGACTCTATAGATAGTAATTACGACTAGGTTTATTGCTCAACACAGCATTGCCAAGGTAATACAGTCGAAAATATCAAAAACCCACTAAAAGTGGGTCCAGGAATATTCAACCCGCAAAAGAGGCTGAGGCTTTCACATTTGATCTAATCATCATCATCAAGAACACTCCGACGCCTCTGGATCTGTAAAATCAGATAAATAATCGAGAAAAATTAAAATACTTCAAACTGTGCCGCGTACATTAAACAAGTAGCAATGTATGATGACTTACTGTGACTTTGGTCTGTTTAGTTGTTTGGGTGTTTATCTGTTCCAGCAGTGATATAAGCCTCTCCTCAGAAACCTTTACATGGGTTCAACCATACAAATTTCAGTTCTTTAGGCTAAGCTACAGATGTGGTACAGAACAATTGCACCCCTTATTAGGCACGCAACAAAAAATAGTAAGACAACAAAGATTTCACCATACCTTCTCAACTATCTGACCCATCTGAGCAGCTCGTAGTATAACATCCTCCACACCTCTAGCCTTCTCAGGTTTCACCAAGGCAATTCGAGCAACTGCACAAGATGTATAGCAGCAAAGAAAATAAATGACAAGGATTATATATAGGAAAAAGGCAGAGCACAATGAGTGTAACCCCGTATCTGTCACCTATGCCTGTCATTAATTAATTGTACTCTTTTTCCTTCATCATATAGTTATCTTCTTCTTGTTTTAAATTCTTTTTTCCTTTACATTCTCTTCTACAGAAGTTCAATGTTCCCACAACTGTCGTAAAGAATGAAAGTCGTGATGCGTCACTCTCCGTTTTGCTGCATGATTATAAAGTCATTCACTTGATGACGGAAATGGGCTATGACCCTTTCAAAGGTGAAGGGCTGTGTAGAGGAAGGGGTGAGAAAAAACCATTTGAACACATGTTAACCCTATAACAAAAATGGGTCTTGCATCATGATGGAGAACTCAAATCCGGAACTCGCGGTTTGGGTTATCAAGCAAGCATTCACATGGTAGCAATTCAAGAAGGCAGCTCATTGGAAAAAAAGTCCTAAATCCCATGAACTGATAAGAGTTCAGTGTGCTCCCCCGCAACTAGAAGATGGTGGTCAGGCAACGGTTGGCAAGGCTTCTAAACTCTATTCAACTCAGATTTTCACAACTTTATATTCACAAATCTCACACTACATAACTCAAATCTAATCTGTGCCTTGATCATCAAAGAGAACAGATCAAATTCAGTTTTTGACAAGCAAGATGATTAGGAAATCAAGAAATTCCCTGGTACCCTAACATCTTTTCCTTGTGGGATTTCCAATTGTATGCCTTCCACAATTTTTTAAACTCCATACACAAATTAGGTCTTTTTAATATAAATAAATACTAGTAATTAGCACGCTTCTCCATGCTTTCTAAAGAATAAGTTCACTATTCACAACCATAATGACAAACACAGACATTATTAGACAAAGTAAACTAAATTCAAAGATTTAAGAGCGCATTTATATATCATGAATATAGAATGTAACATTAAACTTCATAATCAAATAAGATAACTTAGAAGAGTAAAGAATTCCTTGAAAGAATCCACATATGAACAAACATATAAGCAATTAACAGCAGGTTTCTTTAATCAACTTAAATGGTGAATTGAGATACAAACTTACGTCTTTCACGTGCTTCAGTGGACAAAATCTGACTGAGCATCATTTGCCTCCGTTCATCTGCCTCCCTAAATTAAAGGCGTGTAATTGTCAAACTGATTATTTAATTTTATCTCAAAAAAATTTCTTAAAACATTTATGGCTTAGAAACAATAAGCATTTACAAGAAACTGACCTCTTGGCATCTTCCTGAGCTGTCTGCTGTTCAGGGTTCTGTTGATTCCCCTGTTTATCAATAAGTTCTAATTAGTACCATTAAATTAAAAGTACAAGCAAGCCAAATTAGAATTCTTTAATAGAAAGAATTCCTATAAATTAAAATGAAAAGACATAGATTACCACTCCATGTTGAGCCATTAGCTCTTGCATCCTTCTCTGTCTAATTGCTTCTAGTTCAGGATCAGCCTACAAAATTACAAAAATTTAAAATCCCTAGAGTTCCAAAGACATCAAGAAGGGTAACTTAACCTACTTACAAGAGACCTTTGCTATTACAGAGAATCAGCATTTAAGAATGAACGAATTAACCCAAATCTATTTCCACTATCTTTTATTAAATTATAATTCGACTATTATTAAACCCAAAAAAAATTGGAAGCTCTAACAAATCAAGTATAAATGGAATATTAAAGTTCTAACTAAGAAAACAAAAAATCGAAGGGCTGAAACCCTAATGAGATGTTTGGTTGCTGAGAAATTTAGTAAGAAAAGAAAGGAAAATGGAAAAGAATACCATGGATTCGAGAGTATTTCGATCTCCTCCTCCAAAAAGCAGGTTAACGCCTTCTTCACCGGTGAGGGAAAAGAGGGAAAGTGAGTAATACTTTCTAGTGTTTGAGATTACAGCAGGCTTTGGCTTCAGCTTTAGCTTCAGCAAGACGCGATCTGTGTTTTTCAACTTAAGCCCTTCCTCCGCTGGCGGGCCCCATGGCGGTAATCCGACTTTCCTTTAATTTTGGTCATTTAAATTATTAACCAAAAAAAAGGGGCCATTGGGTTGGGCTTGAATGGGCTCAGGTTGAGTCTTACTCCAGGCCAACTACCTAACTCTTTAGAGAGATAATCCAACTTGACCCAATTCTTTAAAAACGTAAATTTTCAAAATTATTTTGTTAAATTAAATCAATGAAAATGATCGAATGTAGAGGATTCTAACCTGTTTCATTAGGGTATATTTTAAAAATTAATATACATAAAAAGGAAAAACGACGCCGTTTGAATTTCTATGTTATTTTAGGGATAAAAAGTAACGAAGACATCTGATCTTTCTAATTCTACGTACAAGAGGGTGAGGGTGAGGGTGACAGCTCGCCAAATCCTGGGTAGAGTATTATTTTTGGTAAAACAATATAAACTCTGCATGAAATTGCTTTAACAAAACCAATCCTGATTTCACGTGCCTAGTAATGCCCAAGTGCCCAGCCACAGCCAGCCCCGTTTTTTGCAGTCACTGGCTCTTGATCTGACCCGTTCAAATTGCAACAAACACCTTTTCCTTTCCGCTTGGATTCTTTCTATATCCGGATTTGATTTGCAATTTACTCGGCGATTCCATCATTTTTTATTTTTCTTTTTCAGTGACTGATGAGGGATGACCCCACTTGATTCTATCAAACGGTTCATATTCAATCTCCTAGATCAAATCTGAAGCCCCACGCCAAGAGTGTTGTGTCAATCCACATTTAACCAAAACTCAAACAGTTAAAGCAGGATTATCTTCTTACATTCATTAGTCCTCTCGATGCCAAAGGATATGTAAGAACGATCCAAGTAACTGAGAAGTGAGCTGAGAATTGATGAACTTAAACTAGTAAAACCTCCAAAATCAAGGCCAAAGAAAGAAGCGGACAAAAACCCAAGAATGAAAGAATCCTAGTAAGAAGAAGTAGCAAGGAGGAAGACCAGAAGCAATGGGTTTCAGCATGGGCTTGAACTTCCTCCTTCTCTTAGCCATGGTGGCGACTAATATCCTCTCCCTTTACCACCTCTCTTCCACCGTCCAATCTCCCAATCCTCCTTCGCCTACCCCTATCCCTGACCACCTCCTACGCCAGCTGAACACCATACGCGCCACCATCAATCACCTCACACGCCACAACCCATCCGCCGCATCTAAATCCACACCCACCGTACCTCAAGATCTCGTCCTCCACTCCCAAATCGGCCCCATTGCTTCTTCCTGCCACAGCCACCCTGACCTTCTCCATAGATACATGAATTACACTCCTTTTTCAACCTGCCCTTATGATCCTGACCTCCAAGAAACCCTTATTCTCAATGGCTGCCACCCACTTCCACGTCGGCGTTGCTTCTCAAAAACCCCATCAAAAACCCCTTCCACTCTTCCTTTAAACCCTTTCGCAGCTTCCCTCCCTGACTCCTCTGTTATCTGGAACAAATACTTGTGTAAATCGTTTGCCTGTCTTTCACAAAACAATCCCGTAGGCTTCGATCTCAACGCTCTACGCTCTTCACTGCTAAAATACGCTTCTGAACTCGATCTCCCCGTTAACCAGTTCATGCAATTGGCTAAGTCAGCTAATTCAGTGATCCGTCTTGGCATTGACATAGGTGGTGGAACTGGAACCTTCGCTGCTATAATGAAAAAATTCTACAATGTTACGATGCTGACCACCACCATGAACGTCAATGCACCTTACAATGAAGCCGTAGCTTTAAGAGGGTTGGTGCCTTTACACGTGCCGTTGCAGCAGAGGTTGCCCGTTTTCGACGGGACGATGGATGTGGTTCGGTGTGGAAGGGCGGTGAACAGGTGGATACCTGTGTCGGTGATGGAGTTTATGTTTTATGATGTGGATAGAGTGTTGAGAGGAGGAGGGTATTTGTGGGTGGATCGGTTCTTTAGTAAAGGAGTGGATCTGGAGAAAGTTTATGAACCACTAATTGGGAAGCTTGGGTATAAGAAAGTGAAGTGGGCAGTTACCAATAAAACTGATCCAAGTGGTTTGAAGAATGGGGAAGTTTATTTGACTGCTTTATTGCAAAAGCCTGTTTCAAAATGATGACGGGAATTGAGGATTCATTGAATTTTTGAGGTAATTCCTTTCAAAGTTTGGTACTAGTAGCTTTGGGTGAATTTGTTTTGTTTTTGAGAAATATGGAAAAACTTAACTTATTGCTGCATTTTTATTGCATTTCTGGGTTAGTTGGTTATTTGATCTGAGATGAAGCTGAGGCATATTCATTATATATTAATAATGACATGATCATAGTAGTTGAAGACTTGAAGTGAATTTTTGTTGTTTTTCTTGATTCACCTTGAGGATATGGTCTTCTACTTGTATGTTTTGATTTCTCAGCATTTGCATTTGATCTTGTATTAAATTCAACAGTCGCTTTTTTTTCTTTTTGTGAATTTCTTCTGATTTGGTCTGGATTTGTTGCTACAAGTGATCAGAATTGTTGTCTTAACATGTGAGAAGGCCTTTGATTACAAGCACCTGAAGAGGGTACCCAATTCTATACACTATAGCAATTTGTATTTGATCTAAGGATACAGCATAAATCCACTTCTTTTCATTGTTTGCATAATGTCTTCTTTCCACCCTATCTGATGTTGACTCTTTGAAACCTGAATGGTCCTTTGGATTTTCACACTGTTGAAGTTTTACCTTTGCCTCTTGACTCTAAACTTCATCTAAAATCGTTTGAATTGGCTTTGTTCCCACAATCGAAAACCAAAAGCATGCTCCCAGTACAACTAAGATTATAATGATCTGATCTTGTTACCAGAGTTGAGTATAATATAATCGGGAGTTTGAATAATTACGTTCCGAGAATGGAGTTTTCTTGTTTGAAAATTGAATTGTGTATCTAGTGTCAAGATGGAAAGGCTTACTGGCATATGAACTGAATAAAGCAATCATTTGACATATAGTATATGCATTGGTTCATGCTAGATTAAGCTTTTAACACATTTATCTGTACTATAAACGCATATCATGTGGGAGGCTAAATGCATCTAGTTACATTTTATCAGTTCCTTTTTCTGATTGTAACCAGTGAATTTCCAATGTTTTTTTTTTTTTCAGATATTGATGTCAGATCAGAATTGCTTGAATGCCGGAAACATCCCACCACCTTTCCAAAGATTAACGTTTGCAGCCGAAAAGCTGGAAGAAAGCCTTTGCTCGAGTAACAAAAGCAACTAATGTGGCTTACGATTTCAGCAGCTTTTTAATGTTGTAAAGATTGTTGATGTCCAAAATATTTTATAGGAAGCGGAAAGTGTTGTAAAATCACAATGTTCTGTCGGAAAACGTGGTCAAAGTGGCCCTCGTTCATTCAACTGTATAACCTGTGGCCATCTACACATAAATCTGGAGAACAGATCTCAAAATAATGGAGTAATACCATATATATATTTTTGTTTGCGTTAGCAGCAAATGTGCGAGGATGATGAAAAACTTACTCGAAAAAGAGGGCTTTCTTTGTGTAATGTGTTGAGAAGCATGAATTCCTCCCAGGATGCTAGAAAGTTTTAGTTTGAGATGTGATTTCACAAAGTGGGCGCTGAAATGGTGACCTCGTTAATGATCCATTCAGATCAGTTCAGTTAAAAGTGAGCGACAACTTATCGACCCCAAATGGATAGTTGGATACGGCTAACCACTCCTCGACCCATGATTGTGATCAAGATGTAATACAATTGCTCCCAAGTTATTTAAATTTAATTCAATTATTGTCAAACACTTTAATTTGTCAAAAAATTAAATTTGAACACCTTAAAACTTCACTCCAATAACTTATAAATTTAATCAAAATTTTATGTTTTAATATATATTTATTATTTTAATTAAATAATTATTATTGTATCATTACATATATATTAATTTGAGTTCAAAATTAAACACAAATAATCAGACTTAAAGTCAACATAAAATTAAATTTATTTTTTATTCAGTAAACAAATTTAATTAAACAAATTTAATTTTTATTTTAAATTAAATTTGAATTTAAAAATTAAAATTCAATCAAATTCAAATTGAATTTTTAAATTTTTTAACAGCAAATTTTGAGTTAAACTTGAATTTTTTATTGTACGGACTCTTGACAGGACTTTTAATTTGATATTAAAAAAAAAAAAAAAAAGAAATCTATAAAGATGCCGCCCTGCCCTTCAGTCTTCAGTCTTCCGTCCAGTTTTTTTTTTTTTTTTTAAATATATATTTATCTGATTTTACAAATTGATTTCGGAAGAGGAATCCTGGGTTCTTATAATTAAATCTGTTTCTTTATAAAATATCTACATATTAACGACCAACAGAATCATCCAGGAACCAGTCCCACCGGTCAGAATGCAGCAGATGATTTCCATGCATGAGTCCAACAATGCAGCCAGGTTTCCAACATGGATAGAAGTTGATAGGCATTTCCACCAGCCAACAGGCTTAATCAAGGCTTCCGAAATCCAACATAAGATGAGGATCTCATTTGGAGGAAAGGGTAGACTAATGCAAAAACCAAAAATTGTTAGTACTCCCATCTTTGGAAACTCGTTAATTCTGTAAAAAAAATTAAAATGGGGAACTGGCAAGTAGCATATGCTACATTTAATTATCTTTGTAGAATCCTCAAAAGAAAAAAAAAGTCAAAATTTAATAGAACAAAGCATTAGCCATGTTACAGATCTTGACCAAAAACATTTAAAATAATGAAAGAAGTCGCATAACACAGTTGTTACGGACTTGTAAGTTTCAACAAGTGAAAACATCTCTATTTTGCAGATAGTTTAACGTTCCATGGAGCTTGCAAAATTCTGTTGACCTTTCAAGGAGTATTAACCTTCTTTCTAAGGAGGTGGTGCAGGTCAATCACATTGATCTTGGCGGCAAGTATGAAGTCATTTTCTGTCAGTCCACCTGTGTAGGAGGAATTATCACGCTTGAATTATGATTTCAAAGACATTAGCAGTATACAAGTTAACGAAGAAATACAAACCTTAGCTCCGGCACACTTTAGATAAAATTTGCCAGCTCTATTTAAATAGTACAAAAAGTATTGATCAAACTTAATAGAATGCCTTGCAACTTATCCAAGAATTGGAGAAGTTCTGCTTCTCTTCGTGCAGGATAAGTAAAACCTTGGTGTTTCATGAATGAAGAAATAATAAATAGAAATCATCCTTATCAGAATAGTCTATAAAAGTAAAAATGCCGAACAAGTGAAAACAGACAAAAAGAAAAGAGGCAAAAACGAAGAACAGAGGATGAGAGTATTTCCATGGACAAGATAATTCTTACCAACTGCATGTGTCCATATTTCAACTGTTACATTGTTCCATCCGACAAGATGCAGATCCGGATGATGGCCTGCATTAACCACAACACTTTCACTCATCCAAGCAAAGACCAAAATCCCCAAGTAAGTCAATTACAAAGTCATTATCTCCCATTAGAGATCAGTACAGTGTAAAAGAATAGCGCAAAGTACCTTCTGCTTCAGCAATATCAGCTACAAGTTGAAACAACTCCAATCCTTTGATGAAACTCTTCACTTTCCAAGACCTTCTTAGCTTCAATGTACCACCTTCGTTTACCAAACTCCAACCATCTACCTGATCAAACTTAAACAGTAAAGAATTTTGGTATATGTAATGAGGAAAATCAATAAACATTTTAAAACATACCTTTGGAATCAGTTTACTAGCACTTTCTTCAGTCATGGGCCGTACATCCTTTGAGTTGCATGGCACACACTTTCTAGTCAACAAATCTAACAAGGCCAATAAACCACATCAGACAACAAGAGCTATCCATTATGATCAAATCTAATTTTATAAAAAAAATCAGACACTAATGATGGCAAAAATGTAGTACACAAACAGGCAAACCAAAAAGTGAGGAAACGAAAAGCAACACTACAAGTTTAATCCCGTAACAAATAATAATACCTCACCCAAAAAAAAAGAAAAAAGAAAGGATTGCCACAAGAAAAAGTCTTTTTTTAAAAAGGAAATCGACCAACTTAATCACACCTCACATAGCCAGTTTAATCCCTCCATCATCTGCCACATTCGAAGTATTCAAGTCTACTTTCTTAAAACTCTTGCATATTCAAGATAAAGCATAAGATCATATGGGGAGGCAAGAGAAAAAGGATACTTTATGCCCCAAGCAAGAAATAATGCTTATGACAGCATGGACGGGAAGGGAAAAATGTCAAGAGGACTCTTAGCGTGCAAAAGAAAAATGATTTAATTTCTACAATCAAAAAAATCACAAAATAATAGATTATACAGATATTTCAAAGAAAATGTCATAATAAGAACTAAATTTAACCACTGAACTGAATTGTATCATTTTGC